ACCACACATACAATGCACGATTACACACTACACACAATGCCACACCCTGCACACAAAGCACAGCCCCACACTCTATATGCGCACACACAATGCACAACTCCACACCTTTCACACACCATACACCACAACAATGCACGATTACACACCACACACAATGCCACACCCTGCACACAAAGCACAGCCCCAAACTCTATATGCGCACACACAATGCACAACTCCACACCTTTCACACACCACACACACAATGCATGATTACACACCACACACAATGCCACACCCTGCACACAAAGCACAGCCCCAAACTCTATATGCGCACACACAATGCACAACTCCACACCTTTCACACACCACACACCACACATACAATGCATAATTACACACCACACACAATGCAGTCCCACACCATATAAACTCAAGCATACACACACAATGGCATGACTACACATCATAACACACCACACAATGCACAGCCGCACATCACACACACAATGCACAGCCCCATGCCATATACACTCAGCACACACACAACCCCATACCACACACAAGCCCACCCAATATCCAGACACACACAACACTCAGTGCACAACCCCACTCCATATACACACATACCCCACATGTAGTGTGCAAAAGCCCAAAGCATAAACATACACCCCCTCCACACAATGCACAACCCCACACCGTGTGCAACCCCAAACCATACATGCCCCTCAACTATCCACAACCCCCGCCTCCCCCTCCCAGGCACACTATGCACAACTTCTACACATGTGCACACACACACAGCTGGCCTTTGGGCAATGGTTCCCAAACTTTAACAACCTGTGAACCCCGTTCACTAAAATGTCAAGTCTCGCAAAGCTCCTCTTAAAAATGAATATTTCCAGGGATTTTCTCCTTTACCTGAGTATAAATTATAAAAGCAGTGATCTTGGTCATATAAAATTTGTTTTTAGGACATGCTTATTACACACAATTTATTATTAATTATTATTTATCATTACAGTATTTTTATTACATTATGAAAACAGCAACACTCTTCCAAGCTTGTAACGTGTTGAATAAGCCTGTTATAAGACAAGGCTCCTATGTTTCATCAAGGCGTATCAGATGTGAAACAGCATGAAGGTATTTAACAAGCTAACTCAAAAAGTTCCTCCTACACAAGCATTCAGGGCTTGTGCGTTGTTTGCTTGGACTGCTTGTTACAACAGAGTTTAAACTTGTTCTTCATAATCATTTTAAAAACAACACTAGCTGCCCATTTAATTAAAAAACAGCAAAAAATAGCTTCTGTCTGTGTGTTTCACTCTATGCATCGGATGAAGTGGGCTGTAGCCCACGAAAGCTTGTGCTGAAATAAATGTGTTAGTCTCTAAGGTGCCACACGTCCTCCTGTTCTTTTTGCAAAAAATATCCACCTCTCTTTCCATTTCTTATAAGGAGTCTTGAAGTTTCAATTTCCTCAGTGTGATAGATGTGCTTGCTTTGGAAGTCCAGGGGCTCTGGGCTGCTGGCCCGCTGCCCGGGTCCCTAGGGACAGCTCTGTCCGCCATTAGGGAATTTTCCCCATGAACCCCCTGTAACATTTTGCGAACCCCCAGGGATTCACGAACCCCAGTTTGGAACCACTGCCTTTGGGGCTTGCGGAGCCCCCTGCTGTGAGGGACCATGACACACAAGAGGGCCCTCATCTCTCAGTCACCAGGCACTGTGTGTATGTCTAACCCCTCTCCTTGGTCTCCGACACTGGGTGCTGGGGCTGCGAGAGTGACACTGCTTCCCCCAGTGCACGTGGTTCCTTAGGTCCTCGCTACGGCAGCTCAGGGCTGGGGTTTGGGATGGGGAATGCTGTGGCCACAGGCCCCCAAATCAATTGACAGCTGTGGGGAGGGGGTCGTGTCCCCCTAGCCGCCAGGGATGAGGTGCCAGCTGAGCTGCAGGGTGACCACTGAGCACAAGGAGGGGCACAGCGGCATAGGAAGAAACGCTGCGTCATGGCAGGGGGTTAGATGGCCCTTGCGGGCCTTTCTGGCCCCGTGGTGCCCTGATTCTAAGCAGCCTGGGGCCGTGGAGTGGGCATGCGCCTGCCCCGGATCAGAGACTGGTTCCCCCTATGGCTGGGGTCAGGCAGGGCCTCCCTCTGGCCCAAGATCCCTCTCGGGGAGATGGCAGAGCTACCAGTCCGTGATCCCAGGGGGTCTCAGCAGCTCGCCCTTGTGGCTATGAGGAGAGCAGGGACGGGTGACCACAGTGCTCCAGCGGTGCTGAGGCCAGAACCCAAGTGAAAGGAACCCAGCATATCCCAGGACTCCTGGGGGCCTGACCTCCGGGCTGGACACTACTGAATTGGGGCCAGTGCAGGGGGCTGAGAGGCCTCGTGGGGGCGCTGAGGGGCCGAAGGGCTGGCCCTCTCCTGAAGGAGCAGCAATCCCTGAGGGAGCCCTACACGCCAGGACAGTGCAGGGACAGCGGCACCAGACACACGGCTGGCCGGCTGCAGCAGGAGGCAGCTTGGAGTCCCCACCACGCAGGGCTGCCAGCGTCGTGCATCTGGCGTGATGCACACACCTGCAACCCGTCATCCCCAGCCCGTGCCCCAGCCCCAGTGTGCAGCCAGGGCCATCAAGGGGCTGCCGCGTAGGTGCCTCCCATCTCACTGGGCCACCTGCTGAGTCCGACCCCCTATTTGGAAGGGGCAGGTAGGCTCTGAGGCCATGGCCCGCGGTGGCAGGGAGCAGGGGGAG